CAGAACCTCCGCTCAATGTCCTCGCACGGCTTCACGGAGCACAGGCGGAGGTCGTCCACCACCACGGTCAGCACGTCCTGCGGGCAGAGCACGGGCCCTCGAGCTCCGCCCCGACCCCCCACATGCTGCTCTGCCTGCCTCGCAGGCCGTCTGAGACCCACGTGCTCTCCGTCCCCCGCCCACTCAGGCCGTGATGCCCATGGCTGTCCCCGGCCCACTCCGGGCCCAGGAGGGGAGGGGCCTGCACGCACCTTCAGCTTCTTCTGGTAGACCAGCTGGCTGTTTTGGATGGAGAACCAGCGCCTGGGCAGGGGGACAAGCCAGGAGGGGTCAGGCGGGCCGACCTCACGTCCGCCCCAGTGCCCTGCCCCCCAAGGAGGACCCCTCACCGGTTCCATGTCTTGAAGGCGTTGCTGGCCCTCTTGAAGAGGTAGCCCTCCATCACCACCCCGCTAGGCGCGTCCACGTCAAACTCTGCTTTGGGCTCATCGTAGGAGAAGTCCTGGGGGTGGGAGCCGGGCCCCCATGAATGCCCACCCCGGACCTGAGCACGGCCCTGCCCCAAATCTCCGGGGGGCAGGAGTCACTCACATCCCCGCCGGGGCTCGAGCCTAGAGCCCAGGCCCTGCCCCCACCCAGCCCCAAAGAACAGCAGGCTGTGCGATGAGGAAGGAAGCTGCCCCCCCACCCCGCGTCCCCATTCACGCTGCCAGCTGGGCCTGCTCCCAGCGACAGAGCTCCATTCACCAGGCTGGGGAGACACTGAGTGTGTCCTGTGTGTGGCGGTGGGAGCGGAGGCCCAGCCACCTGCTGCCCTGGCTGAGTGGGGGCAGGGAGGGACAGCTGCTGCCACTCCCACGGGGGACGCTCCCGGCTCAGCCCGTGTCCTCGCTGGTGCCAGCCACCGGTACGTGCAGCGCCCACAGGTGCCTGGGAGGTGTCCTTGGTGCTGAAGTGCCTCACCCATGTGGCCCTCCCCTTCCTCTCCACGCCCCCAGGGCAAACGCCCACTCACCTGCAGCAGTGTCTGGGCGGAGCAGAAGCGGGTGGGAGGAGAGAGAGAGAATGCGGTGAGTGCCAGCCCCCCACCCGCCCAGGCTCTTGGTGATTCTGAAATGGCAGCTCTGCCTGCAGCCCATCCGTCCTGGGCAGCGTGGGGGCAGCGGTTTGGCAGGTGACCAAAGAGGCCCCAGAGGCGACCCCTGGCCTTGCAGGAAGAGGGGCATTCCCTGGCCTCTGCCCACCCCTGCCCTGGCCACCCTCCCGCCTGCTCCATCACGCCGAGGCCCTAAGGATGGGGATCCCAGCAGAGTGGCAGGCCTGGGGGAAGGGATGGAGCGTGTGTATGTGCCAGGGACCTCCCAGGTCAGCGGGACGGGGTGCCCCTCGCACCCCCAACCCCCGGTGCAGGGCGGTGGGGGCCTCACCCGCTGCTGGATGGCAGCATGCCTGTGCTCCATCTCCCGCTTCTCCACGGCCGAGTCGATCACCAGCTGGTCCAGCTACGGGAAGGGGCGTCAGGGAAGGGACCCCTCTCCCTGAGACCCTGGCGGGTCCCTCCCCTCCCCCGCCCCAGGCTCACCTCGGCCGCCAGCTTCTTCATGTAGGGGTCCAGCTGGTGCAGCAGGCTGTAGCCCTGCTGGAAGAAGCTGTACTGGGCGTGCATGAAGGACAGCATCTGCAGGCGGGAGGTGCAGGTGAGGCCAGCCCCCCGGCACACCTGCTGCCCAGGCCCGAGCTCCAGGGCAGCGCCCCCGCCCACCCCGCACCAGGCACTCACAGAGTCCAAGATCTCAAACTTCTTCTTGGCCTGGAGGACATTGATCTGCCGGGGGAGGGGTGAACCGGGAAGGGGTGTCGGGGTCGAGGCAGCCCACGGCCGGCACCTTGCCACCGAGTCCGCTCGGGCTGCTGGTGGTTCCCTGAGACCCCCAGCTCGTCTTCATATCCCTGCCCTTGGGCCAACCCCATCCTCCCACGGTCCGGTCCGGGACCCTTCCCAGGTCAGGACGGTGGGTCCCTCCAACGGGCAAAGTCAGGAACTCCCACCCCTGCTGCACCCTCAGCAAGGTCTCCCCGGCCTCCACCTGCAGCCGCACCGCTGGGGCTGCCCCCCGCCTGGTCCCTTCCCAGGACCTGACATCAGCTTTCTGGAGCCAGAGGCACCTCTCCTGACGCCAGCTCCATCCGTCCTTCCGTCCGCCCGTCCGTCTGCAGGACCGCCTCCCACCCCACTCCAGGACCCGACCCCTCCGTGCCCAGCGGCTGACCTGGAGCACGTAGTCGAGTGCCAGGTGGCGGAAGCACTTGCGGGTGAGGGTCAGGGCACCGGTGGCCTCCTCCACCTCGTGGGGCCGGTGCCTGGGGGCCTGGGCGTTCCTCACCAGGGACAGCTCCAGGTCCTCCCGCACTTTGTCGAACTGCTTCTTGGTCTCCTTGAACTTCCGCACGTCCCTGGGGGAGGGGGGGTCGGGTCAGGTCGGGGGCTCCCAGGAGGGGCGGACATGGGGTGTCCCCTTCCTGAAATGCCCCCCCCCGCTCCCAGCCCCTCCGAGCTCCTGGGCAGGGCCTCCCTCCCTTGCCTCCCTGCCTGCACCCCCCTGCAGCCATCGAACTGGGGCCTGCTCCATCACGCCGAGGCCCTAAGGATGGGGATCTCAGCAGAGTGGCAGGCCTGGGGGAAGGGACGGAGCGTGTGTATGTGCCAGGGACCTCCCAGGTCAGCGGGACGGGGTGCCCCTCGCACCCCCAACCCCCGGTGCAGGGCGGTGGGGGCCTCACCCGCTGCTGGATGGCAGCATGCCTGTGCTCCATCTCCCGCTTCTCCACGGCCGAGTCGATCACCAGCTGGTCCAGCTACGGGAAGGGGCGTCAGGGAAGGGACCCCTCTCCCTGAGACCCTGGCGGGTCCCTCCCCTCCCCCGCCCCAGGCTCACCTCGGCCGCCAGCTTCTTCATGTAGGGGTCCAGCTGGTGCAGCAGGCTGTAGCCCTGCTGGAAGAAGCTGTACTGGGCGTGCATGAAGGACAGCATCTGCAGGCGGGAGGTGCAGGTGAGGCCAGCCCCCCGGCACACCTGCTGCCCAGGCCCGAGCTCCAGGGCAGCGCCCCCGCCCACCCCGCACCAGGCACTCACAGAGTCCAAGATCTCAAACTTCTTCTTGGCCTGGAGGACATTGATCTGCCGGGGGAGGGGTGAACCGGGAAGGGGTGTCGGGGTCGAGGCAGCCCACGGCCGGCACCTTGCCACCGAGTCCGCTCGGGCTGCTGGTGGTTCCCTGAGACCCCCAGCTCGTCTTCATATCCCTGCCCTTGGGCCAACCCCATCCTCCCACGGTCCGGTCCGGGACCCTTCCCAGGTCAGGACGGTGGGTCCCTCCAACGGGCAAAGTCAGGAACTCCCACCCCTGCTGCACCCTCAGCAAGGTCTCCCCGGCCTCCACCTGCAGCCGCCCCGCTGGGGCTGCCCCCCACCTGGTCCCTTCCCAGGACCTGACATCAGCTTTCTGGAGCCAGAGGCACCTCTCCTGACGCCAGCTCCATCCGTCCTTCCGTCCGCCCGTCCGTCTGCAGGACCGCCTCCCACCCCACTCCAGGACCCGACCCCTCCGTGCCCAGCGGCTGACCTGGAGCACGTAGTCGAGTGCCAGGTGGCGGAAGCACTTGCGGGTGAGGGTCAGGGCACCGGTGGCCTCCTCCACCTCGTGGGGCCGGTGCCTGGGGGCCTGGGCGTTCCTCACCAGGGACAGCTCCAGGTCCTCCCGCACTTTGTCGAACTGCTTCTTGGTCTCCTTGAACTTCCGCACGTCCCTGGGGGAGGGGGGGTCGGGTCAGGTCGGGGGCTCCCAGGAGGGGCGGACATGGGGTGTCCCCTTCCTGAAATGCCCCCCCCCGCTCCCAGCCCCTCCGAGCTCCTGGGCAGGGCCTCCCTCCCTTGCCTCCCTGCCTGCACCCCCCTGCAGCCATCGAATTGGGTGTCCCCCTCATCCCCCTCCCTGCCTCCCCCTTCTCCCTCCTCTCCTCCTCGAGGCCCCCTTCCCTGACCCAGGGCCCACCCTTGCCCTTCACCACCTCAATCCTAAGGTCAGTGCAACCTGGGGTGAGCCCAGCTTCAACCAGACTCCAGGCTCAGGCCCCCAACTTCAATGTGACATCACTTGGGGGTCCCATAGGCACCCCAACTGCACACACAGGTGCTGAGCCCAGACCCCCACCAACCCTCACCTCCTCCCACCACCACCCTGACTCCTCCCACAGTCATGCCCTCACCCCTTGCCCGAGACCCTCACCTTACCCTCCAGCCCTGTCCCCCTCCAAGCCTTTGCCCACGCTGAGCCCCCACCCAGAGCCCGAGGCCTGGGGCCAAGGCCCCTCCCAGACAGACCCCCGGACCCCCCAGATCCAGCACAGAAATCACCATGGGCCCCTCCCGGGCTGGGAGAGGCTAGGCCCCCCCTTGGGGTCCAGGGGCCTCGAGTCACTCACTCTTTGATGAAGTTGTGGAGCTGTTGCCGCACGGACCTCTGGGCCTGGTCAAACAGGATCTGGGGGGGTCACGGGACAGGGGGTGTTAGTGGTCTGTCCCCACATGACCCCAGGGGCCAGGCCCCCATCCCTCTCAGGTGAGAACCAGGGAAAGTCCCGCCCAGCCCAGCCTGGGCCCCAGCCCATCGTCCCCACGGAGCCGACCTCACAGGGTCAGGGGAGCGGGGGTGGCCCCAGGCCTGGGTCGGTGCCCAGAGGCGACAGCTGTGACCACCTGCCCACGTCCCCTCCTGGCTCTCGGCCAGACCAGAGGCCAGAGCTGTCCTAGATGGGCCCCTCCTCTGCTCCACCCACAGGGCAGCACAGAGCACCTGTGACACCCCCACCTCCGACCCTGAGACCCCACCTTGGGGAGGACCAGCCCTGAGGTAGGAAGGATGGGGTCGGAGCCGGAGCTCCCAAGGCCTGGCCTGAGGGCAGGGGCGGTGGTGTGGGGAGCTGGAGGGCTCTCGAGCACTTAGGGGATCTAGAATCAGGGGCCAGAATCAGACCTGTCCACGAGGGGGCCTATCGTGCCTCAGACAGACAGACAGACAGACAGACAGACAGACAGGGCAGGACGTGCTGTTCTGAGCTGGTTTATTTCTGAACTTCCCCTGGGGGGTGGGGCCCCTTGTTTAGTCTGGGGCTCCGGTTGCCAGGCCACTGTCCAGCCACCCACGTGTGCCTCAGGCCCGTTCCGTGAGGCCGTGCTGGTGGCCCCGAGGGCTGGAGGTCATCCAGACCCGACCGGGAGCCGTGAGGCCAGAGTCACCAGGGGCCAGGGGTCAGCCTGGGAGGTGCTTTCGCTGCACGCACGGCTGGAGACCTGCCTGGTGAGGGCCCTGGGTGACCCTCCACAGCGTCTCCCACCCTGAGAGCCCGCTGCCCACAGACCTGGGCTATGTTGCCACCTCCCCCCCCTCCCGGCTGACCCTCACCTGGGACACACGAGAGCCCCGTGGCGTCTCCCACCCACAGACGAAGGAGCGCGGCGAGGGCTCTCCCAGAGCTGGCCCCGCCGGCAGCCTAGCCCCTCGGACAGGCCCTGGCACGGGCCCTCCTGCGCGTCACCCCCGCCCCCCCCCGCAGGCTCACCATGTGGTAGTTGACCATCTCCTGCAGGCTGTCTCCAAACCTCTGCAGACACTCCTGGGGGGCAGGGGAGACCCTCACTCAGACGGAACAGCCATGCTGCCCGCACAGGTGCCCACGTGCTCCCAGGGCCTGGGGCCCTCCAGGGGCTGCCTGCCCCTAACAGAGGTCAGAGGTCAGGGGCCTCACCGAGATGACGGTGTCTCCCTGGCATTGCTGAGACAGGTCGCGCACCCCACTCACGAAGAGCCTGTTGGTGGTGACGTAGGCCTTGCCGGCCTCGATCATGCCGCTGCACAGCTTGACCAGCTGCGGACAGGACAGGGGGCGTGACACTCAGGCC